GGTCAGCTTTTCACCACTATGACCAAATACCTGACGTTATGCAACTTCAAGGAGTAAAGATTTATTTTAGATCATAGTTTCAGAGGTTTTAATCTGTGGTCACCTGGCTCCCAGGCAAATATATCATGGCAGAAGGGAATGAGACAGGAAAGCTGATCCCTTTATGGGATCCAGGAAGTTAAGTGAGAAGGAAAGAGCCAGACAGGAGAGAGCTGAGGATAAGATATAGTCCCCAAGGTCACACCCTCATGCATGACCTACTTTCTTCTAAATCCCACCACCTAAGTCTCCATCATCTCCCCATAATGCTATCAAATTATGATTTCATTGGTGGATTAATCCACTGGTGAAGTTAGAGTCCTCATGCTCCAGTCATCCCTAGAAACACTGAAGATACACCCAGAGGTGTGCCTTACTAATTTCCTACGCATTTCTCAATCCAATGAACTTCACAATAGTCAAGATTAACCATCACAGATAGGATTGATTATTTATCCTCTGCCTACTCTTAATTCTAATTACTTCTATTTAACCTGCTAGAGGCCTGGAAGTATCTAAGGCAAAGGATAGTCTGTGCTCATTGGTTCTGCTTTCTGACTCATCTAATGTAGTGGATATTTTTGAGTCATTTACCTAGCTTTTGCTACCTCTGTTATCTGTCTAAATTCTTAGTAAAATTGAATGCTAATAGGAGACCATCTTCCTTGGGATTCTACTGCCCTCAGTTCCTGACACCCCTTTTCAATTCACCTGGCTGGCCAACTCTCTTCAACTTTTATCCCGGGCTCCTCCTCCTCTGTCCACTCCAAGCTCTATCCTTGCTCAGCCCCTCTTGCCACCATGGAAATCTCAACCTTTGCCTCTGCTCCCACCCTAAACCCTTGAAAATTGCTATTAGTCTTCCGTCCACATTACACCTTCTCATCACTGACCTTAGGTACAATTTAAACAAGGGCAGCTTTTTCAGTGGAGCCCCACACTTCTCTTTTCCTCCTTTCATACTCTATACTCTCTCTTTCAAATACTTGATTCTTATAGTCTTGAGTCTCATAGTCACTAATGTTTCTGACTCACTTGTTCTCAACTGTGGGAATGAGAACAGTAAAAGTACTCACACCCAGACTATAGCAGAAGACATTCTATCATAGGTGGTTTGAAGTGGGATAAAGCATTGGTATTTTTAAATACTGTTTTCCTATTATTATTATTATTATTATTGACATAAATTTTATTTTCTGGTCTAAGAAGTTGCATTTCACAGACTTCTCAACAGCTAAGGTTTGGGTGAAAGTATCCTTGTATCTCTAAGATTCCAGGCCCTACAGCATGAGCTCAGTGATAATTTTTGTCATAAATAAAGTATAACTTGATTTGCCCAGCATAAACCAATTATACCCATTGTTCTGATGTTCCATTAAATAAGATACCCTGCCCTTCTCATTCTCAAAGGTGTCCCATTATACGATACATTGTAGAGTCCCTATAAGTATAAGAGTGCATAGAGATTTGAAAATGCTTAGTGGTATAGGCTGAATTATGTCCTCTCCAAACTCATACGTCAAACCCTTAAAATCCAGTACTTTAGAATGTGACTGCATCTGGGGATAGGGCCTCTAAAGAAGTGATTGCTTTAAAATGAAGTGATTATGTTAAAAATAAAGCCCTAATCCAACCTGACTGGTATTTGGAAATTTGGACACACGAAATGACATCAGAGATGCACACACACATAAAGGAAGAAAACACAGGAAGACACAGTGAGAAGATGGACATTTTTAAACTAAGGAAAACTAAGGATAAAGGAAGAAACGAACCGTTCCAGCACCTTCACCTTGGATTTCCAGCCTCCAGAACCACGAGAAAATAAATTTCTGTTATTTAAGATGCTCATCTACGGCATTTTGTTATAGCATTTTCAGCAAACTACTGTGTGTAATAAAGTATAAGACAAAACCAATGTAAATACTGCTTCCTATGTATTCCAATCCCCGAGATGAATGCTTATACCATTTTTCAGGGAACTCACTCTCTTAATTTTAGATCTTTTGCTTTCCCCAACTGTACAATAAAACATTTGCCTCAATGTGATCACAGGATATGTTTATCTTTCATACATTCTGAGTCTGGAAGACTGTTCCCAGGTAGAGACTGAGCCCCCATTTCTCGGGCAGCAAACAAGACAGTGACAAAAAAAAAAATGTCATGAATGAGTGGGTAACACACAGTTCCTGCCCACAAGGAACTACATCCTGATCCACTAATATCTCATCTCCATGCACCAACTGACAGGCAAAGTGACTTTTATGAAGGCTCAGGGCAGTGCAATGAGCTATCCTGGAGAGAGTCTGGCATGTGAGGGATGGGCAAACTGATTTGAAGTGGTTAAAGAGGAACAACCCTAGCAAAGGGAGTTGGTGGCGTGGTTATTCCCTATGGAAGAAACAATGTAAAAAACAACAAAAGCAGCGATTTTTTAAAAAAGAGACCATGTTCCCTCTAGTGCTTTTCTAACTACAACACCCTCAATTTTAAATCCAGTCATTTCCCTCTGTCCATCAATGGCATAGAGTACAATTGTTATCCCTCGTATATTTTAAAACTTTAAAAATGTGAAGACGTGAAGGTTACAAATTTTGTACTTTCATCTTTTCAGGCTAAATAACTAGAGTTCCTTCAAGATAGTCTCCAGTATTTAAGTTCATTTTATGCATTGCCACCCACCCCTGCACCAATGCGCATGTGCACACACACACACACACACACACACACACAAATTTATGCAAAGGGCAAGAGGACCTGCAGTTTACCCAAAGCTCTTAAATTTAAAAGAACATATCAATGCCATCCTCTCACAAAGTACAGATTAAGGTCACATCCACCCCATAGCTATGTGAACTATTAAAACATCAGAGTATTTTCTTCCTTTGACAGAAAGCCAAAGACATGCTAAGGGTTGATACACTGAGAGAAGGTGTGTGCCCTTCCATATGACTGCTAGGTGAAATAATAGTTGTACCATTTTCAGGTGTTTAGAAACATTAAACAACTGAAATAGCTCAGCCCCACTTATATGGGACACATTTCTATGAGGAAACACTATCCTTTTAATCCCACGTCACAGCATAAATACAACAGACCTTGTTTTCCACACAGACTCCTATTTCTTTCGCACCCAAGCATATGCTAAGAGCTCTCAAGCCACACTCTTGCTTCATCTCTGGGAGGTGTCTTGAAACATTTTTAGCTTACCAAACACAAAACAGGAGGATGTGTTTCTTTACTCAAGGAAAATCATCTTCAACTGCTTATTTATACTTCAGATGAAAATCTATAGATTGAAATACATAAATTTCACTCTAAAATTTGCATCTGTGCTGCCATAGTAAAAGGTGCAACAATTGTGCTTGAAGAACAATCATCTAGGAAATTTCATGTTGGTTCATGATATTCAAACCAAGTACTCCTTGGAATGAGGAGGTGAATAACACCAAATAACTAAAGAAAAGCATCAGCTACTGAATTAATGAGACCACATGTAGGCAAAAAATGTCAAAAATGATAGGAAAATGGTATGGCTAAAAAAGGTCTAATGACATAAAACAAAGTTCATCTCTTTGATGAACTTGATAAGATGACTTATTAAAAGTCCAGAACTGTACCTTATAATACACTAGCAACCAGCCCCACATGGGTATTTAAATTAATTGCAATTAAATAAAATTAGAAATTCAGTACTTCAGTTGCACTAGCCACATTTTAAGAGTTCAGATGTCATAGGCAGCTAGTTGTTGTCATATTGAATAGAAGAAACTTTCATCACTGCAGAAAATTCTGCTGGATGCTGCTGGTAGAAGAGGGTCCCTTGTGACAACTGGTTATCACCACGTTAAATACCAAACCCTAAAGGGATCATGGGGAGACTAGCATGTCTGCCAAATTAATAATCCACAGCAGAAAAAAAAACAAGGTAAGAAGGGGGAAAATCCCACACCTAGAATGAGCAACTATGATACAGTATTGACTTTTGTATTACAAAAAAATAGGCAGAAAAGTTTCAAGCTAAAGTAGAAAAGAGTAAATACCATTATTTGAATATTTTCTCCCTCCCTCCAAGAGTTCATAAAACATGCCACCCTCTCTTTATCTGCTAGTGGCTGATTGAATTTTATTGTTCGTCCCTCAAATATTTTTCATTCATTGATCACTCCCTGCCTCCAATGTTCTGTTGTCGTAACATTTCTGAACACTTATTTAAATAAATAGAGCTCTGATAAAAATGAAAAATGCAGACACTCCCTTTTTTACAAAAAAGGTGAGAACTTTATTTTAAATAAATCCTCAGTTTTATATTACATCATATCATATGTAAATCAAAATGATAATGATAAATTAAAGGAAATGAAGGGCTTCGTAAAAGCACATTATCCAAATATTACTCTTGGCTAATGCTTTAACTAAATACACAGTGGATACTAAAGGAACAATATGGCACTTAAATAAATAAGAGCAAAGAGAAGGAAACATATTCACAATCCAAAGCAATAGGTTTTTGAACCTTTGGTATATGTCTCAAATAAGCATCCATAAACAGATGATAGCCAATAGTGTTTAGTTTCAGGTTTTTAAGCCAGTGATTGTGTGTGTATGTGTGTTTCAAAACTAACTGATAAAATAATAAATTGGGATTGACATGGGCTGATTAAGGTCTCTGGTGTGAGCACACAGGTAAATTCAAACCATGGCAAAATGTGCAGCTGTGATGCACAACAAAACCATATAAGAAAATGAGTAAGATACACCAGCTAGAAATTCTGTGGCTTGGGTAAACACCCTCATTATTAACAAAAACAAAATCTTTTTAATGCTATTCAACATCCACAAACTGGAAGGTAGAAATACCCCAAAGATCATAAATACATGCCTAACAGTGCAACAACCATCTGACAAAAGTGTTGTAGTTGCATATTGCAATTCCCTCCCGCCCACCCCTCCCCCACCCATAATAAACAGCACCAGTGCAATTTGAGTTAGAAAACTGGAAATATTGAGACATTCCTAAGGTTTTCATAATGACTAAGAGCCAGTCTGATGGGGCTCTAGGGCAAACCTCTGCCACGGCCCATCTCCAAAAAGCACCCCGTGTAAATCCCTCTAGCTTGCAGATAAACCATATTAGGTCTAAATGTAAGGCCAGGTTCAGAAAAAAGCTGGCATGCTATCCTGGTTTGAGGAAGAGGGGCATGCTGATGGGGGAGATACATGGAGGATCCTCAAGGATATTTGTCCTGAAGCCCAGGATAAAGGGATGTGTTGAAATAGGTCACAAAATTTGTATTAATGAAGTATTTGACTCATGCCATTTACCAGAATACAGAGCTCAGCAGAGCTAAGTCCTGCTTGGTGGCTGTGCAAGTCTGCTGCTATCAGAATCTGGACCCTAAAAGAAGAGGTCCAAAAAAAGATGTCAACTCATCCATCTCACCACTCTACTCAACAGTACTCAACTGCCTGTGTGGAGCCAGTGGTGTAATACGCGACAATGGGTCTACTTTTTCTCCTGTCATATTGATGCAAGATCTTCACTTAATCAGCTTTACCCTACATTTTCATTTTATGAATAAGGGCTGATTTATCCACTCTTGAGCAGTTCGTTTATGTTGGGGCTTCTTGTTATCCCGAAGGCCTTCCCAAAACCTGCCCTTTCACACATAGGCGGAGTCACTTGACTGAGTCCTCCCAAAATTGGGAACACTGACCCGGGGGAGGTCCTTGTTCCGGATCTCATAGACTGACTTCCTTTTGGCCTGGGCCCCTCGCACAGCCAGCTTGATCTTGCGCCACCCCAAGTGGTTGAGTTCAGCCAGGTTGAGCACGACGCAGATGCCACTCACAGCAAACATGAACACTAGGAAGACAGTCTTCTCAGTGGGCCGGGACACATAGCATTCCACTTCCTTGATGCAAGGGTAGCGGTTACACTCATACAAGCCTGGGACACTAAAGCCATAGAGAAAGTATTGGCCGACCAGAAACCCAATCTCCAGGGCATTTCGGAACACCACTTGAATAATGTAGAAGCGAGAGATCCCTTCCTGTCTGCGGAGCTTTGATCTCGCTGCCGTGCGCAAACCTGATGGGTGTGGAGTCAGCTCCTTAACCTCTAGGCAATCTGGCTCTGTCTCCTTGCTAGTGTTCTCTGTGTTCTGCAGGACCCCATTGACGATGGCATTTTGCAACTTCTTATCTTCTCGTTTGCCTCCACCACTGCTGCCACCCCCAGTTCCTCCAGGACCCCCCATAGACTCCGGGGCGTCTCTATCCAGAGCTAGGAAGACAGTAGAGTATCGGCGTTCTCGCTGCTTGGCCGACTGGTGCACAGAGTAGGTGATGAAGCAGAGACTGGGGGTGCACACCATTATGATCTGGAAGACCCAGTAACGGATGTGAGAGATGGGGAAGGCACGGTCGTAGCAGGCCTGGTTACAGCCGGGCTGCAGTGTGTTGCACACAAACATGGTCTGCTCATCATCATACACCGTCTCCCCAACAATGGCCACAATGAGGATCCGGAAGATCACCACCACAGTCAACAGGATCCTGAGCAGAGGAAGAGGGAGGGGAAGAGATTCTCGTGAGCTGTATCATTGATGGGAAAGCCCAGTTCTTCCCTTGCCTGTCCTGATGTTTGCCCGGGAGCTGTCCATCACTTTGTGGTTCTGAACTGCAAATCTGGAAAACATTTCTGTCTCTTTTTCTGCTACCGGGAAATACTTCATATTACAGGAATCCCAGGTATGTGCATACACTGGTCATGATCTAGTAACAATGTATGTATTTCACCTCTCTGCATGTCATGTATAGAGATACTTAGCACACCTCTCCTCTGGATATGGCAAAGGCCCACAAAACACTTGTACAAACAGCGCGTGCTTCAAGGTCTAGACACAGGGCATGTATAGAACTACTCTGTGTGTATGTTTGGTTTATTCTCAATATAATATTGAACTTAATACTTTAGAGAAAGATATGTATGAGTATATATTCATATATATGCATGAATACATATATATGCAGATACATACACACACACACACACACACACACACACACACACACACACACATGCAAATATAGACTCCCAAATATGCCATTTGGATGTGTGGACTCCTGACACCGTCAGTTTAACAAATCAGTTTAGTGGAAAAATATTTGTTGAGAAAAGACGCATTTGCTCTGAAGAGCAAATCCATCTCCCCATTTGCCCTTCTCTGTCCAAATGCAATCCTGCCTTCTTTGTAGATTCTATTTAGGGCACCGGATGGAGACTGGCTCTGACTCTGGAGAGTCGGGGGGCAGGGGGGGACCAGGACGGAGCCAACAACTCCTTTTCTGAGGTGGGAAGAGTGACTGCCCCTCCCTGGTGGCGCTTCCTAGGGAAGGGATGGGGACGCGAGTCAGGAGCAACAGGAGGAGGGGGCGTCGCTGGGCGTGGGCAATCCCTCCACGCGGGAACACAGGCGCCCAGACCAGGACGACGGGGAGGAAGCAGAGGACGGGCAGGGGCCCCGGGGTGGCTGTGGAAGGGGGAAGGTGCTCCGAGGGCCGTCCGACAGGCCCGCTGACGGCCGGCCGGCGGGGCGCCCTTACCTCCCGATCATAGTGGAGTGCTGCTGCACGGCGGCTTCCAGCAGCCTCTCCAAGATGGTCCATTCCCCCATCGCTGTGCATCCGGAGGCAGCAGACAAAGACTGGGCAGCACCGGGCACGTTCCCGCTCCTGGCCCCTCCCCGGGCCGCACCTCCCGGCTGGGAGCGAATTGCCCCCCCAATGAAAGAAGCAAACGAAATTTTTAAAAATCCACGAATTCCCCCCTCCCTTTTATTGTACTTATAAGAGGGAAATGGGGAAAGAAATCCCACGCGTCCGGACTGATGGGAAGGGCAGTTGGCGCGTTCCGGAGAACAGCACGAACCTCCGGCGCCGTCCGGGAATCGGGTCTGATCCGCTGCAGTGCCCGGGCAGGGGGCGGAGCAGGTCCGTGCGTTCCGGCCCGCGCTGGGGTCTGCGGGCGGCCGCTCGCCCGGGGACCTGCGCTGTGCGGAGGGTCCGGGCGCCGACCCCCGTGCTGCCACGTCGCGGGCACCTGGAGCTCTCGCGCTGCCGCCTGCGAGGCCCCCGGAGCGCGCGGAGCTGGCTGCGGGGCTGGGGAATCCGCGGCCGCCTCTAATCCGCCCTTAAGTAGTCTCCGCCTGCGTCACGCCAGGTCCTCTGCTGTCGCTGCGCGTCTGAGCCCGAGGGGTCGGGGACGCGCGCGGGGGGAGAGAGGCCAGAGTCCTGGGGCCTGGCAGGGAGCGGGGCGACTCGGAGAGGAAGGACTGCAGCGCCCCTTGGGGCCTCCCGAGGCGCCCAGGTAACCTCACCTGACTGCCCGCCCCCTGCGCGAGGAAGGGGAGCCCTGAGCAGAGGCGGGGGCGCATGGGGAAGGGTGTGAGTGGGCAGTTGATCTCTCTGTGCAGCCCTCACCTTCCGCTTCTGCCTTGGGGAGATAACCGAAATTCCTTTTCTGGATGGAGACGCCGGTAGGGGGAGGGCGCTTTTTAAATCTCCCGTGGAGATGAGGAGGGCCTGAGACTGAGATTGCCCTTTAAATCTTTTTTTTTTTTTTTTTTTCGGTACCGGGGATCGAACTCAGGATCTTGTGCTTTGAGACTCGGAGGGTCCAGAGCCAGGGTGAGGAAGGCCGGATGAGAGCCCTTTCAGGCTGAAGGGTAAACGCAGGTGTGAAGCCTCCTCTGAGATGAGGGTTGGATGAAAGTGTGTAATGGCGCCTAGCAATGAGGTGGCCCTGGTTAAAGACCCTACTTCCCCAGCACAAACCCAGATGCCCTGCTATTTCTATTTTTATTTTGCTAATGGGAGAGGAGAGTAAGCTTCAGGTCAGCCTGATCTAATCTGAATTTAAGGAGATCCCTTATTCTGCTAGCAACCTCACCCCGCCCCCACTTCTCTTGCCCAACCTTGGCTTTCCTCCCTCAATGAGCAATCCCGGTTTCTGTTTTTATTTTTACATTTTGTTGTCAGTTGTGTCTAGAACAACTCTGATTGTTCGCTGGAAAATTGGAAGGATCACACCAAGCCACTAATTAGCTCAGGGATCAGTTTTAGGAGACATTGTAGTTAGAAGTACTTCCTATAAGTGTACCAAAAGCACGGTGAAGTAAGAAGTGGTCATCCTTCTAAATATTCAACTGTGAAAGGGTGGCTAACTCGTTTTAGACATATAATACAGCTTTAATTATCCACGGGGATCATAGTGCACATGTGTATTACATAAGACCACACCACAATGGACTTCCAATTGTAGAACAGCCAAGGTGGTTGGGTAGCTGGTGGCCCAGGGTCTGGGAAGAGGGGGCAGGGTATGGGCTCAAGTCCACTCACAGTGCACTTCTACATAAATGGTTTTTAAAGACATGACCCAAGATTTTGCACCACAGGAATGAATAAGAGTCCACTAAAATGCAGAAAGGTGTAAGGTATAACTAGAACACTAGAGTGAAGGGTACACAGCTTAAAGTCATTATGTTCTTTAGGTGCTTACGAGTGATGACATCTCCATGATCTAAGTCATCTCTATTCCCTTTGCTATCCTCAAAGGTTATATTCTCTCTAATGTGGCAGCCCAAGCTTTACATGCTCAGCAGCATTCACTGGGCTAGTTTAGCAGGTGTTGGGACCACAGTGAGGGGGAGAAAAATGGGAATGAGAGCAGTAGGGCTGGTAGTTTGCAAGGACACTTTCTATGAGGGGTCAGTCTTTTAAATTGTTTTAATCTTTTTCTCAAGGACTCTATATCAATTACTTCATACCTTTTCTCCTTGTTGCTTATATGACTTTGGCCAAACCACCTAAATTTTAGGTGCGAATTCTTGATTTCTGTGATTTCACTCCTACCCTAGTAATCATGGAAGCACTATACATTCTTAAAATTTTGTTGTTATCGGAGCCAGTGATGAGAACGTATTAATAATACAGGTACTTAAAACTAACTTGCATAGATTTTAATTTAGCACATTTTAAATGGGAGCCCATGTCTGTATTTTTAATGAATACACTCAGATAATCTAATGAACACTAAAGTTTATACTATGAGTTCCACTGTTGTTCATCCAAATTCTATTTTAATATTGCAGAATGAATTTCAAGTAAAAGCTAATGGAAAGAGCTTTCCTACCGACTTAATGGACAGTTGACAATTCAGTACCCTAGTGTTTGAAAACTGTACTGTAGGAATTTTTAAAGTGTATTTTTCTGCAACCTATGTCTTTAGGGTCACTATCTTTAGGGGCTTGGGAAAGTCAAAGTATAGAACATAATGACTTTAAGTTGTGTAGCTTATTTTGGCACATTTAAAGATATTAAACAGACTTCCCTTGGGACTTTCTCACTATTCTCTCCTTGTCTGAGATTCTTTCCTCCAAGTTTGACTACCAGAGAAGGAGCGAATAGAGGGATCCAGGTAGCAAAAGGAAAACCTGGTTTTTCAGCCTTGTAAATCCATGTCTTAGCAGTAATATCCTTTAACTGGGCAGGAAAATATTCTCCACCTCTAGTAGGAAAAACTGAAAACTCATGTAGCAAATGGCACTGCTGAATATTCTAATTCAAGGGTGGAATGCATTTTCTAAGAATAATCCCATTTACTATGGGTGTGTCTGGGTTTGATTTTATGTTTATAATGTCTATAATTTCATTCTTTTCTCAACTATAGGATTCAAGGTGAACCTTTAGCTTTACTGCTTCAAATATTTGGTAAGTGAAACTTCACTAGAACTTTGTGTGCTGTAAGAATCAAGGTTAATGTACTCTACTGGACCATAAATTCTTGGAGAAGAGAAGACATACCTCATATGTCATACTGTTTTCTATAGCATCTTTAGCATCATTGAAATCAACTCTTCGCAAGTAGCTATGCTGGCTTTCTATTTCCCTCAATTTGGGAGATCTACACATTCCCCAAGTAGATGTTGGTCCCAGCTATCCCTCTGACACTAAGCAGCATGCAAGTCAGAGAGGAAAAAGGAGTTCCTTCTGTCAAGTAAAAATCTTTAGCAGCCGGAGGGCAGCCTGGACCCCTCATAGCAAGTGTCCTTGCAAACTACCAGCGCTACTGCTCTCATTCCCATTTTTCTCCCCCTCACTGTGTTCCCAACACCTGCTAAACTAGCCCAGCAAATGCTGCTGAGCATGCAAAGCTTGGGCTGCCACATTAGAGAGGTGGTCTTAGAGGGCTGATCACAGCCCTGGATAAAGCTCCCCTGGGAAGTACCAGCACCTATAGTCTCCTGGGGTTTGTGTGACTGGGAGGGGCAGCATCCTATGTGAGATCGGTCTCTGTGTTAAAGTCCTCAACATTTCATTCACAAACAGCTAGGATTAATCAAGCTTTATCTCTTTCAGTGGCCTACTTATATTTGTTCCTAATGAAACATCACATTGTCTTCTGAAGGGGCAAACCCAACCTGTCTTGTGAGTCTTAAACATAAGAGGCAGATGAAATCTACTCTTTCCTACAAAGTGATTGTGTGTGTGTATGTGTGTGTGTGTGTTTCCTGCCCTATGTTTAAATCTCAGCTCAAATGTTTAGGGAAACAAAGTTGGCTTTGCTGTTTAGACAAAATGTATATAAAGTAATACAGTGGACCCTTGAGTTACGACTGACCTAACATATGAACAACTTGGGTTATGACCAGAATTTTAGTTTTAACTTACTGACAAAGTCTTGAATTTTACCTGAATGCTGGCCATTTGTGCTTCCAGATGGTCTCAGATACAGATTTAACCCTTAAAGCGTTCTAGAAGGAACATTACAACATCCTTTCCTGTGTGGGGTTAATTGAGGGATCCTGGGCCAATGACTCTAAGGACACTGAGATCTGCCTGGAAGAAAGTGTGGCGTAAAATTATACAGGAGAGAGACTGAAGAAAATTGACCAACCTGAGTTACAAGCATCCCTTGGGAAGAAAGGGTCCACTGTATCTCCAAAGGAAATAAAGCTGTCCAACCTACCAGTCTTAAGCAGCCTTCAACAATGTGTCTTGCCTTGTGAACTAGGACTCACCTCGTTACTTTCAAAACTGTTCTACAATCTCATGGATCCAATTGCAAAACTGTATGTTAGCCCCAAGAGACTGTATACCCAAATGATGGGAAAATCTCACATCTTTTACCTACTAGTCCTTTGAATAAAAGGCTATGTTTCCCTTAAAAAACAAAAAAAAAAGAAAAAAAACACATACAAATTCCTTCTTCTTTACCTACCATGTATACAGAAAATAAACCTTTGTGTAGTAATATCTCAGAGATTAATGTAATATGCCATTGTGGCCAAAGCAGATTTGTGAAATCACAGCAAATAAATTAACACTCCATTAAGAATCAAATCAACCCTGCTGACACATAATCTTTCCCATTTATGTCAAGTCGTGATTCCCATTCACGTCCAGAGCCTCCCAGGGGGGCACATTAGACCTGCAGAAAGAGATTTCTTTTAAGTCAATGCTATTCAAAAGTCATTCAGCTATAGTGCACAAGAGCCTGCCTGGGGTCTGGGCACCCGCTTCTTCACACTGTCTTTGTCACTGTCCAGCCAGAAACCCAGCCATGCAGGATATAGCTAGGATCCCTGCTGAGTGCGCTTCCAGTCTGTATAAAAAATATGAGGAAATTGCAGGGGAAATGTGTGTGGGTAGGACCTGCTCCTGACAAACAGTTAAGCTTGGAGAATGTATTCCATTGACCACATATGTTCTTCCCGCACTCCTTCCACATCAGAGTGTGGTGCTGAAAGTTAAAGCTGAAAGTTGGATTCCCCCTGGTATTTTCTGTCAACAGCCAAGATTATAATATGGAATTGGTATGTGTCCCCAAAGGAAACTTCTCTAAGATCTGCAGCATCTTATCAAGGCCTTCCTTGCTCTCATAATCGTATGTAGATTCTC